CCAGAAATAGTTCTTTGGTATGGAATTCTATGCCATGTATAACTATTACGAAATATGCTATCGATAAACACGCACACTCGGAGATGCACAAGAAGGCCATGTGTAAAGTGGGAAGCAAAGAAAATCACGGCGTTCTCAAAAGCTGCAGATCACTGGGCTTCCATGAAAGTCCGAAGAATCAACATTACATAGAAATCACACAGCAGCAGATTCATTTAATCTTCTACATAAATTTGTTAAAAAATAAAGACACATTTTCATCCATGCAAGCCTGTCATTATTGTTTTCTTTATCTTCAGACAAATGCTAATGATATGTAAATTATATGCAAATTAGCCGCCACTCTGATACATTTTTCTGGGGAGAACACTGGGCTGCAAAACTCAAACTCGACTATACCACTATTGAACCTAAGCATGTATGACACTGGGAAAAGTTGTGAATTTATCTCAGAAACCAATCTAAATTTTTTTTAAATGCAAAAATAAAAGAAATGAAAAGTGTCACATGTTGTTATACTGAAATTTTCCCCACAAAAAAAATATTTTGTTTTTGCTTGTCTTTCTCATTGTACAACTTCATCAATATCACAATGAGGATTTTATTTCATAAAGATTATTATCATTCAAGAAAAAAAAGTGATTTGTTTGCATGCTCCACTTACCTTCTCTTATTGCAAATAACAAGTCACTTCTACCATCACCTTTAGGTTGGGTCTTAGCTGGTGAACCGGTATCTGGTGATGGTGACAAGGGTTGCTTCACTTCCTGATTCAGTGATGGAGGAGGTGGAGCTGGGGGTATATTACCAGTCAGTGGTCCTGGAGGTGGTGGAGGAGGAGGAGGTGGAGGCACTGATCCTGTCACGCTGACTGGTTTTTGAGTATTTGAGATGTCCACTGCAACGCCATTAGGTGGAGGAGGCGGGGGTAGATCATCCATGGATACATGGGAAGCAGGGAATGTATTGTTCATATGCGCGTGATTGAAATTTTGCGTGGGTCCTGGGTACATTGGCGGGGGTGGTGGAGGAGGAGGAGGCGGCGCACCCATCCCAGTATGATTGTTCATGGGAGGTGCTGGAGGCGCCGCTGACGGTTTAGGTCGATGCGCATTCGAATTGATACTCCTTTGACGATTTACCAGAGATACCCTGTAGTCGTTTTCCTCATCAGCCTGCTGTAGATTTGGAGACGATCCATGAGCAGAGCTCCCATCAGATGGGAAATCTATACTCATAGGCCTGGAAGGTGTACCTGATGAGGCAATACTCGGCGGTCCACTTGTTTGACTCAGTTCAGCACCATCTTTCATATTGTCATATACTCTGACATTTGGTCGTCTTATTTTTCCAGGGTCACGACTGGCGACTGGCCTCCTTTGCTGTATATAGGGCAAAACACAAAACGGTATGACAAGTGTTGTACAAATAATTGAACTGTTTTTCTGGCTACATTTGTCAAAATGAGAACAACACACAAATATCTAGCAAATTGAATTACTGAAAAATACTTAATTATCACTTGTAATTTATTTTTGCTGTAAAGATTATTCAGTGAAAATAAAATCCAGCGAATACCGGTATACCTTTTTTGCTATGTTTTACATTCAGCTCATCAAAAATCAGTGAAATTAAACTCCATACAAAATACGGAAAAAGTCATTATCAGTGAAAATGAATCCACAGTACTATAAAACAATGACTGTCTATGAACTGCACACATCACTGCATGTGCCATAACAAATTAATTATAATTTCACCTGAGCAGAGAGATATACATTAAATAAAGATTATTATTATACCGGTAGCAGCTTTACAAGTCCCAATTGGAAAATAGGAACCAAATGGTAATTGAAAACAAAAAATACTAAAGGTCTGCTGCTCAATTTCAAAATAGTTTCAGCAACATTTAGGATTTTAACTGAACTTTTTTGGTGAATAATTTCAAGGTTTTCTCGGAGCATAAGGGGCTCCATACTCAATAATTTTAGGTAAACATTAATTAACAAATAATATAATGGAGGTAATTAACATGTTCAATTGTCATG